CTGATGGCTGGTACAGATGTGGAGCAACCGCAAACCAGGCACAAAGCGATCACGGGCGGCTGCAGGCGAGTTTGTTTGATGCTCAGCTCAGGTCCCATAGATAGAATTAATGTGCGGGGGATGGATGGATGGATGGATGGATGGGAAGAGAGAGAGACAGAGAGAGAGGTGTGGAGCTAGATGTAGAGAGAGAAGAGAAGTGATGTGTGCAAATAGGCAGGACATGGGGAGAGAGGACAGAAGTAGTGTGTGGTGGTAATGTGGAGATATATAGCTAGATATAAAAGTAGCATGGTGGTACATCTTATACTGCTATCTATAGAGAGAGAGAGAGAAATGATATCTGTATATTGCTGTATCTGTAATATTTGTCTTGATAGATAGATAGATAGATAGATAGTTGGGGATGAGATGGATAACATAGATAGATAGATAGATAGATGTAACATGTAGGGAGACAGAGAGAGACTCCTATCCGTGGAGTGGCCTCGTCTCCCTGTCCCTGCCTGGCCTTTGGGGTTACCTGCTGGCTGATCCCCTGCAAGAGGTGCTGGGAGACTGAGGTGGGGGGTCCAGAGCCGTGCCGTGCCGTGCCCTGGAGTCGCCCAGGCCTGCTCCAACCCGGCGGGCGTGCGGGGAGCGTTCTGCACCCTCCTCCCCCACGCCGCCCCGTCGCTGTCAGGCAGAGGAGCTGTGAGCTGCCCTGTCTCACACAGTAGCTGCGAACCGCGGTGCTGTCACTCACGCTGACATTGCCAGGATAAACAGAATTAAGATCTTATCGGCAGCAGTGCAAGCGTCTCCAGTTTCACTGCTCGTCCTCGGCACGGCAGAAAGTCCTGCGTTTCCTCCCAGGACCAGCTCAGGCCCCAGAGCAGAAGCTGCCAGGCAGGTGGACGCCAGGGCTCTCGCCGCAGCCACGGGGGTAAGATGCAGGTGATGCTGCAATGCTCAAAGCAAAGCCCCGTCAAGCTGCCTCCCTCCCAAGGTGCGGGCCGCGCTCAAACCTCGGCAGCGGTGCAGCTGGCTGGGCCCAGGCCTGGTAAGTGCAACAAGACTCCCCAAAGAAGGGAACGGAGGGGACATAGTCCACAGCTCCTCCTGCCTGGATCTCTGCCATGGGAGCTCAGCTCCCCGAGCTTAGCCAGGCCTCACCCTCTGCTGAGCTGTGAAATGGATATCCATGAGGGACAGGCCAGAAACGACCAGCCCGGTTCACTGAGCGGATGAGACTGATGCCTGGCAAGGACTGTAGGACAGTCAAGGCTCCCAGCTCCTAGAGAAAAAGGTCCAGGCCCTTGGACCAGACGCCCCATGGATATCTTGCACAAAGCCTGCACTGTCTGGTCCACAAGCCCAGCATACAGTGGGAGGATGCCCTGAAGACACAGAGCCAGTGGCACTGGACGCTCAGCAAACCACAGGGCAAAGTCCGGGGGGCTTGTGGGCAGGGGCAGACCCAGAAAAGCGATGGTTGCAGCTGTTGTCAGCTGAGCACGTGGGAAAATGTAAAATTCGTCCTCCTGCCCCATCCCCGGGGCCGAACCGCCCCATCCCCACCTGCCAAGCCTCCAGAAACAAGCCCTCGATTGTGTTCGTCGTCCGCGAGGATTCACCCAGACTCTGGAGCATTGCACAGCAACTGTTTGCAGTGATTGACCACCTAGCTTTCTCCTCCTCCTTAACTGAATGACCAAACCCAGTTTTAAAAAACGGGTGTAAGAACTGCAAATGACACAATTTGGGGGGGTTGGGGGGGGAAGGTCCATGGCTGAAATAAAAACCTTCCAGTTTTGGGAAGAGTTTCATGATCAGCTGAAACCCAGGACTCAGTACAATGGTACAAAACCCACACTTAGCTCCCAGCTGGCCAATGCTTTTCATTGAAAAAATATATATATTTTAAATGTATCTTGTCCAAATTAAAGGGAAAAAAAGTGTCACTACAGCCGTCTAAATTATTTTTTCTTTATTTTTTTTTAACTAAACAAAACAAAGAAGCCGCCCGTTGGGCTTTCATTTTGGTTTTCAGAGACCCAGAAAGTGAGCGCCGAGGTGAAAGGACACAAAAAAAGCGATCGTTTTGTTTCATCTTTCGGGTTGAAGAAAAGCGAAACCGTCCACAAAAAAACACAAGCCAAAAAACCCCACGGGATTAAATAATTTTGTGGATTTATTTTTCAAGGGGAAACAAATCAGCTTTTCCCACCACCGCTGATTCATTTGGTTATCAGGAGCTCCAGGATTAGACTGATGCTAAGGATGATTTAAAAATAACCACGTAAAGCCCCGAGCGTCAGGGCGTGACTGAACCCCGGGCTGACTGCTTAGAAATACCACCCTCCCCTCCCGACCCCGGCCGTGCTGCTAGACCATCCCCACAGCTGTGGGTTTCTTGCCCCTTTCTCTGAAAGATGGGTCCAGCTACGGTCAGGGCCCACAGAGCTGATCCTCAGGTCCTCGGACTCAACAGATGCCCCAGGTAAGAGCTGTACAGAGCCCCAGATCCCAGTACTCGGCCACAAACCCCGCTATGGATCAGGCTTCTCCGCAGATTGCTCCACTCCACCTCCAAAGTCTCTCTCTCCCCTTAAACTGCGCTGGGAAAGGGTCTGGGAAGCGTGACGCATGCCCACGGACACCCACTCTCCTTTGAGCCCATTTTGCTTTTATTACCACGCAGTAACGCACGCTACAGCTGTTGACGACCTACGACAGGGACCGCACACGCACACACGCACAAAACAAAAATAATAAGTTAAAATAAAAATGTGTAAAAAAAAAAAAAAAAAAAAAGGAGGGGAAGGAAAAAAAAAAAACAGAAAAAAGGCAAAAAGGAAGAAACAGAAAAGGGTTGTGTACATGGAGCTTCTTGGTGGACATTTTTATTGGATCTTATGGTTGACGGACGGCTTCCAGAGGCAGGGAAGGGCGGCTCGGCTCGTTGCCTCGGAGCGCGCAGTCTCTGGGTTGGCGTTCCCTCGTCCTCCTCTTCCTCCTCCTCCTCCGTTGTGTGGGAGCTCTCATTTCCAAAGGCCGCCCGGTGCGCTGAAGAGCTGAACCGTGTGATGAGGGAGGAACTGGGCTGTCAGCCTCTCCTTTGGGCCTGGGCACCGCGGAGGAAAGTCAGCGGTGGTCGCTTGCTTTTGTCTGTGTGAAGTCTCGAGAGTCTGGTTTTGTTCCCGTCCCGTATTTCCCCTTCCTCCCCCTGGTTCCTCTCATTGGTTTAGTCGCCGGCAGCCTGTCCCCTGGCTAGTCATTGGAAGTGACATCAATGTCTTCCCCACTGGACTGCTTGGTGGCGATCCGCCATCTATTGATGTGATGGGAACCTTTCTTCTTCTGGTCTGACTCGGGGCCTTCCTCTTCCAGCTTCTGCCGCTTGTATTTCGTCCTTCTGTTTTGGAACCACACTTTCACCTGGGCGAGACAAAAAGAGGGGCATGGGGGAGTCAGTGGCTCAGCTCTCATGGAAATATGCTGGGGCTAAGCCTAAGCCCATCCTCCAGACTGGCTCGCTGCAGACCCTCTGCTTTCCCCAGCACTCTAGCCCACCACTGCTTCTGCCTCACACTGATGTTAGGCTTTGGTCTTAATTAACTTCCTTTTCCCCCCCAGAGTCTACTTATTACCGGTGAATAAGAGGCAGGCAGCGCATTGGCAGAGCCTTCTTTGGAGACTCGCCGAACATCTATCCCAGGCTACAAGTGTTCAAAACTGTGTCGTGCCTGTAAAATCAGTGTGTGGTTGCACTGTGGTAACTCACAATTCCCATCTCGCTGCAAAACCTCAGTGGCAGCTGGGCTGCTCTACACCGTTGTGTCAGCTATGGATACAGATATGGAATCAGCTACCCGCTGGCTGATGCGGCGGTGCCGGCAAGACCTTTGGTGTGGCTGCAGCTGTGCTGACAGGAGATGGCTTCGGGCAACTTAGGGGGAAGTTATATGTTACACTGAGCTCTGTGTGGACACTCATGTTTTGAGTACCCTTAGCATAAGTAACGAGCTCCGTGTGGACACTCGTGTTTTAAGTGCCCTTAGTGTACACTAAGGGCACTTAAAACACGAGTGTCCACACGGAGCTCGTTACTCATGCTAAGTGCCCTCTGAGTACCTCAAAGTTATGCCACTTCAGGCAAAGGTCAACTCTGGGCTGTGCTACCTAGCTTGTGTTAGGGTAACTTCAGTCTGCTCCACAGATGCAATGAGCAATTAGCAGTCCTCCAGTATCCCAGAGTGCACTGCTCCCAGCCCCCCACCCACTCCCAAGCAGGGATAAACCCCCCCAGGTGTCCCGGCTCCTAGCCACGCCCCTGATCGCCAGCCCTCTAGTGGCAAGTCAGAGCAGAACAGGCATGAAACAGTGTTTCATAGATTTCATAGACATTTGGGCTGGAAGGGACCCTAGAGGATCATCAAGTCCAGCCCCCCGCCCCAGGGGCAGGAAGTCAGCAGGGATCATAGGATCCCAGCAAGATAAACATCCAAATGTGTCTTGAAGGTGTTCAAAGCTGGGGCTTGAACCTCCTCTAGCGGCAGTCTATTCCAAACCTTGGGGGCTCGGACAGTAAAGAAGTTCTCCTTTATGTCCAGCCTGAATCGGTCGCGGCAGAGTTTGTGACCGTTTGATCTTGTCATCCCTTGGGGCGCTCTGCTGAACAATTGTCCCCCAGATCCTGGTGAACACCCCGATAAACTTGTAGGTGGCCACCAGATCACCCCTGAGCCTGCGCTTTTCCAGGCTAAAGAGCCCCATGTCTTTCAGCCTCTCATCATAAGGTGTGTTTTCCTGACCTCTGATCATGCGCGGGGCTCTTCTCTGGACTCTCTCAAGCTTCTCCACATCTTTTTTGAATTGCAGAGCCCAAAACTGGACGCAGTACTCCAGCTGCGGCCTCACCAAGGCCGAGTACAAGGGGAGAATGACGTCCCGGGATTTGCTTGAGAAGCATCTATGGATGCAAGCCAGCGTTTTGGTCGCTTTACTAGCCACAGCATCACATTGCAGGCTCATGTACATCTTGTGGTCAACCATGACCCCCAAGTCCCTTTCATCTGTAGTGCTGACCAGTGTAGCACTGCTAAGCCTATAGGGATGCTGTAGGTTTTTCCTCCCAAGGGGAAGAACCTTGCATTTTTCGGTGTTGAACACCAGCAGGTTCTCGACTACCCATTTCGTGAGCCTGGCAAGATCCACCTGGATCACCCTCCTGTCCTCAGGTGTGGATGCTTTACCCCAGAGTTTGGTGTTGTCGGGAAACTTGGCCAGCCTGCTTCTGACACCAATGTCCACATCATTGATGAAGATGTTAAACAGTTTAGGCCCTAGGAGAGAGCCTTAAGGGACCCCACCGGTCACAGTGCACCACGACGATTGACTTCCATCAACCACCACCATCTGGGTCCTGCCGCGGAGCCAATTCCCCCGCCAGCGGATCGTGGTGAGGTCGAGGCCGCAGTTGGCCAGTTTTGCCAAGAGGGGATCATGGGAAGCATTTTTTGAAGTCAAGATGTATGACATCAATCTCTTCCCCCTTGTCCAGGTGATAGGTCACCTGGTCATAGAAGGAAATGAGATTGGTCAAGCAAGACCTACCCTTAACCCTTTGTTAACCCTTAACGTTCAACCACTCACAGCACGCGCTAACTTTAACACTGCTTAACATTCATACAGGTTTAGTCTGGTCTAAGTGTGATGTGGAACTGCACCCCTAGCCTGGTTCACGTGGCGAGGTGGTGCTGGCAGCAGGGCTCTGTGCCATGTCCCCACTGCGAGGCCCAATCAGGCCCAGTGACAGAGGGTCCATAGCGCAGACAAGCCCTGAGGCAGCCGGGATGCAGGTAGCTGACCCCTGGGGTTCACCTCACCTAGCTACAGCAGCGATTCTCAACCAGGGTGACACAGTGCGACACACCACTGGCCTGTGTAGGTGTGCAGACACCGACGCACGAGTTACAAGCTAGACTCAAAGCCTTCCAACAGAAATCCCCAGTATCCAAAACATCCTGCCCCGTCGGGGCTCTCTCAGGTGTCTGTGACAGAAAAATTGCTCTAGTATTTTTTTCTGCAGGCAAGAAACAGGTGAAAGCGGCCTGAGGCTAACGAGGCCGAGACGCACGGAGCGAACCCAATGTGCAAACCACAGTGACGCGTCTCCACACGTGGAAGCAGCAATCACAAGATTAAAACTCTGTATTTTCCTGCAGTGAAGACAGTTGCAGCGTCTACCAGGGCACACACTAGGGTAAGCCACCAATCTGGGAACATGCCCATGGGGAGAGTCCCAACCCGCCGTCACAAACCTGCCAACGGCTCCAAGTTAACTGAGGTTTAAAGAGCCGGTGTTGGCAAACCTGTAAGCCATGGGCACTGCGGGCTGCCGATGGCTCATGGATTGGAGGGGGTCTCTCCCCTGCCAGAATTAGGTCCTGATCGTTAGAGATCAGCAAGGCCATCTGATTGCATTTTGCCGCTATCACTAGGGCTGCAATACCCCACGGAGGGCGGGAGAACGAGAGAGAAAGTGTGAGCAGAAAAGTACCAGGCCAGAATCGCAGCGAGACCTGTTGGATTTAAGTCCCGAGCTGAGTGATGAGCTTAGGGAAACCTCCACTTGACAGGGGCAGGGGGTGGGCATCAGAAACGTGGGTAGCTCTCCCAGTGCTAGTTCTCATGCCCGTGGGTTCAGAGGCAGCCGGGAAAGCACCAAGGGGAACAGGCAATGCAGATGGAGAAGGGATCTTGCCCAGAGCAGCCCGAGAGGCAACGAGTGGCACCGGGGTCCCTGCAGATGCAAGCTGCAAATGGAGTTTCTTGAGAACAAAACGCAAGGGAGAGAGGAAACCTCTCCCTGGGGCCTGCCAGATGCAGGTGGAGATGGACGGGACACACACCACGTGGCCTCCTCTGTGCCTCAGTTTTCCCACCTGCAACATGGGCAGCAAGGCAAGGTAGCGGCTCTGCTACCCAAGTATCCCTGGCTGCTCTTGGGAGGTGTCCGGCCCCGGGAAGCGCAGGCCCACGGGTGTAGACAAATGCCAGCCAGCACCGGCTCACAACTGGAGTCGAACTGGCCGGTTCCAGGCTAAAGGGCTGGTGCAGCCCTGGGGGGAGCCCCTGAACCGGGCCCGGGACAGCTCGGTTGCCGCCAAATGGCGCTGCAGAGAAGCCTGGCCGGCCTCCGCAGCCTGCAGCCTCCCTGCCCCGGCTGCACAGTGCGGGGAGCCCTGGTGCTGGGGTCCCCTCCCCTCCACGCACCCAGTCACTAAGCCTGAGGCCCTCAGCCCGGGACAGCAGCACATCTGGAAGCTGCTGCCCTCCCCCAGCGTCTCAGAAAGGCCCCCACACATCGCTCCTCAACAGGACAGGATGCATGTGCCCATGCATCTAGCAACCAACAGAAGTACAAATCATCGCAGCGCCAGCTCAGGTGAGCCCTGGGCGGCTGGCAGGGGCGCACCGTGGGCAGCAGGTGCTGGGGACTGCGAAGCGGTCTCGTGCCATGTAGTATGAAGCATCGTCACCATCATCATCATCACTGTGCAGTTCTGTCCCCTTTGGGATGCTGGCAGCCTTCGTGGGGCACCCTCCAGCGGCTGCTGGAGGAAACGGAGCCGTCTCCTGTCGTGCAGATGCAAAGAGCTTTTATCCCAGCTCCGCTGCTCCAGCCGCTTAGGAGGAAATTAGCTGCCTGCTGCAAAGCACAAGCAAAGTTGAAAAACCACTGCCAAAGGGGAAAGAGCTGGATCCTGATCTCACGGGAGCCAAGAGCAAAACCACCCCTGAATTCAACAGGCCCTTTGCTTCTCCACCCCACGGTGCATCGAGATCCTTTCAAGGGTGCCACACAATGTTAGCCCTGTTAGGCGTGCAAGCAGGAGCCACAAGATAAACCTGGGGTTTTCACATGGAAATCCAGAGCGCTGAAAGCACGGGGAGCTGCTGCGGGTCTCCCTGAGCTCTCTGCAAGAGCAGCATGGCGCTGGGATTTTTCTGAGCAAAACCTGAGAGCCGGCATTTTCCAAGGGGGGTTCGAGTCTACCAAGGGGGGGGTGGGGGGTGCCTGAAGTCTAAAAGAAGTGGAGAGCCCCTGATGTGCACAGTCCACGTGGCGAGACAGGCCAGTCCTTAGGTGCCAAACTCCCCTGGAGGTCCAGGTATCTAAAGCTCTTTGAGGCTTGGAGGGGTTAAGCCCAGCCCTGAGGGGTGACAAATGATGCATTAAAGATGATGAGGCAAGGTCACGCCAGGACCTGTTATATTGACCTGTGGGCGTGTAACACTATTCTGCGTGTGTACCTGCATCTGCGGATGTGCACTCGTAGGCCCGTGTGTGCATGCATGTGCACGTGCACACAGGCCAGGCGCTCGCGTGGTTTATTGCGCTGTGCTAAGGAACGCGTTGCATCCATCCTGCTCCTTCCGCCACGGAGGTTGACCACGGCCTTCATACCCTGGGTCCGTGCAAACACGGCACTGGGGCGTCCCCCCTGCAGAGCCCAGTATGTGGATGGGAAGAGATCGCAGCCCGTGCGAACGCACGCCTGGCCCTTTCCAGGGCTCGCCCCGCTGCAGTCTGCTGAAGACATGCGTCTGGCACCATCCGTCTGTCCTGCTGCAGCCCGGCCCTGCACGGCTTAGGGCACCTGCCTGGCTCGGAGGAGCGAAGCGCGTGACTGTTCTGCCACTGCCTCCTCACAGGCCCGTGGGAGAGTCACTTAGCCTGCACAGAGCACCTGCAGCCCCTGAGCCTGGGAGCTGGCCAGACATGATGGGCAGGGGACCATCGAGGCAGCCAAAGCCGTTTCCCATCTGCAGCACTCCTGGTTTTAGCAGCAGGGAGCCCTCCACGTCTCCGGCTCCCTTGCTCAGGCTGGACCCAGCTGCGCACGTCAGGCAGGATTCAGCTTTTTGCTCACAGGGTCTGGTTTGACCGTGGCCCCTGGGTCTCATCCAGGCGTTGCAAACACCTTCACTCCGGCCACCCCGCCCAGGCCATCCCAGCCCCCGAGCAATCTGGTCCCACCCAAGGGCCGGGCCCCAGGGATCGGTGCAGAGCTGGGTGGGTGACAAGCCAGGACCGGGCTCTCCAATGTCTCCAAGGGATTTAGGCTCCAGGAGGTTTGGGAGACAAAGTGCGGGAGATTCGGCTGGTGTGAACGGAGCTTTAATAATTTGGGCGGTGTGAACAGGACGGTCCCTTTCCCCAATTAGCAGAGGTGGGGTAGACAGGGATACTCTTAATGGATTTATTTTTATCAGAAGAGGGGAGAGAGGCAGAGGGAGACTGGGACGGTCCACACCACCGTGTTTCACAGCTGGACGGGCCCAAGGGAAGTCAAGCAGTGCCCTGAAGTCAAGGCCTTGACAGCTCATGGGGGGAAGGTCTCTGGGGTGCCGTCTCCCCGGTCTCTCTTCGGTGCCCGATTCCCTGCATAAATGACGGCTGATTTTTCTCTCTCCAGTGCCCTGTCCTGTGCCCGTGGCTGCGGGGTTTGAGCTCCTCCAGAGCCACGTGCTCGGCCCCCCGAGAGGAAGGCAGGGACTACTGTCCATGCTGCGCACAAGGCAACTCGTTACCCTGGGAGTCGGGGCCTTGATTCGAACGCGGCTCCCGTCCTGCTGGCTGCAAAGCTGCTGCCCCCGGCCCCAAGTCAAGTGAGACGCCGGGCAGCTTTATTTCAGTCTCCGGCGTCAGCAGCCGTGACGCCCAGGGAGCAGCGTGGACGTGTGTCCCCGTGCACGGAGGGCTGGAAGTCTTCATCGCAGACTCTCCTGGGGCCACACAGCACCTCGCGCAGCAGGGCCCAACGCTGCTTTCTAGCATAGTATGGACAAAACAGAGAGGGATTTAGGCGCAGGACCAGGCACCCAAGGAAGGACGCACGTGGGCAGGCCAAATGCAGGTGGAGATGGACGAGACATACACCACGTGGCCTCCTCTGTGCTTCCCTGTCTATGTGTGCATGTGTTAATGTGCATTAATGGGGGTGTGCGAACCAACTTGGGACTCAAGTTAATTCCCAGTCAATGGACACACACCATGTTAATGCGCACTAGTGCAACTACACGTTTGCTAATTTGATTTAGCTATTCATGCATAATTCTGATACCTACTTTATGAAGGTATCAAATTTAGGCTTAAATAGCCTTAAATTGCCATTTTTAAGGTGCATTAAGGGTGCACATGTGTAGACATGCATCCTTAAAGTGCCTTAAATTAGGCTAATGCACATTAAATGCGCATGTGTAGACACACCCAGTGGGCTGCGGGCCCCTCATACCAGCTTTGAACTCGATTCACAGTACAAGCCTGGACATCCAGTGCTCCCAGTCTGTCCCAGCACGGGCACCATTCATTTCCACTGGAAAGCAAGCGTTGGGGCCAAGGGACACAGCAAGAGACACTCAGGTGATATGCGGGTGGCCGCTGGCCATCACCACGGGAGCGACAGGCAGCCAACGGGGACCAGCCTCTCGTGACGCCGGAAAGTGAGTTACACGCTTGTCTCGTGGGGCAGCCGGTGCTCCTGCTGGGCCCGCACACCCGCACAGCTCTCAGCCCATTTTACAGCAGAGACGTGGAGGCCCATGGGCCCCCTCACACCAGAGCACTTCTGGGACCAAATGCCTTTATAATGCGGAAAGCAAAATGTTCCCATTAGCCCCTGGCACTTGGACTGGGCCATGAGAGCAACAAAACGAAGTCAATGGAAAGGCCTGATGGCCTCCGAGCTGCTTGCTCCCTTGGCCGGCACAATGTCACTCCACGCGGGATGATGTCCGGCAGGGCCCCTGACGCCAACAGGGTTTGTGCACCTCGCAGCCACGTGCGCACAAATCCTCCCAGGCAGGAGGGAAACGCTCACTGAGAGCAGGGCCTGGCAAAGGTGCCCGAACCTGAACTCGGGTCTTTCCAAGCTCCAGCAGGTTTGCAACCCACCGCCCAACCCTTTCTCTTCCCGCAGCCGCCTGCCCCCGCTGCCATCCAGAGCGCCACGGGCTACTGCTCTCTTCTGCCCAAAGTTTATGAAGAGGATGAAAAGTGATGGAGGAGGAGAAAAATGTCCAACGCCAGGAATGTCTAGAGCGAAGAAAAGGTCCCGTCTAGTCTGGAGGTACAGGGGAGGACCCGGGTGGGTTGCAAAGTGAAGCACACCCCCAGCGTGACCCTCACATCGTGACCCTGTTAAATCCATGAGCCCCAACCCAGTCAGCCGGGCTGAAAGTGCCCCTGGAAAACCAACAGCACCCCGGGGTGCAGGAAACCAGGATGCTGATTCAGTTTAGGGCCTGGTTCCTGCCCAGCGATCCTAAATCAATGCCCCGAGCGAGCGCTTTCCAGCTGGCATCTTTCCCCAGGGAAATCAGAGTCCCAGGTCCTTGTGATCCCTGAAGATCCCATGATCTGTTCACACAGGAACAGGGGTGATCTGGCCGGATCCCGGTTTTCTGCTCCCCGTTATATTTTAACATCATTTGGATACAACACAAATTTGCTTCCTGGCTTACTTTGTGTGCTTTGCCACTTGGCTATTTTCCATGCCACCGCTGGCTGCAGTTCTGCTGCAGGCAAAATCATTCCCGTCCCTGGTTTCTAAAGCAATACCGAACCCTCCGCTTGGAAATACCCAAGTCATTTCTCCTCTGCATACGGATGTTTTATGGCAGTGGGAGATAGTGTGAAAACTGCTCGTTGGCTTCCTTTTAGGGCGTTTTGTAAAACACGATGTATAGCGAGACTTGCGCTGAACAACCACCGAGGCTTTCCTATAGCCTTAATCTCAGAGTATTTATAGAAGATGCATACATGCATGATTATGGGGCTCTCGAACTGTACAGGGAGGTGAGGCCAGGTAAGCACAAACTATTTAAAATGAAAAAACATTATCCCCAATTTACAGACAAGGAAACTGAGGCACAGAGCGATTAAGAGATTGCATAGAAATCAGATTCAGGTCTGTATCCTCTCCTGAAAACCAGCCTCAGCGGCGGCTCTCCAGGTGCTAAATAGCACCTCCGTCTGAAGGGGATTCAGGTTAGAGAAATCCATTTTGGCACCACAACTGCCTGGAAAATGAAGACTGCTTTGCCCAGGCAAACCCTGCCGTCGGGCCACTATCACGTCGGTGACGGTGGCTCCCAAGAACAAAAAGAGCATCTATGAGACGATATGGAATAATTTGTCCCTTATGAAACCCATCCCGGTCGCAAATAGAAATCAGTTTAGATCTTCAAGCACGTGGTTTTACTCCTTCCTCCCAAAAAAGAACGACCTCTGAGCATTAGCCATTGCAGTGCTTGGATTAAAAATCAACCCCACATTTGCAGGTTCAGCTGCAGGAAAGGCAGCCTTTCTCCCATAATGTAAATCAATAACTACAGATAAAGACCTGGCCTTACACAATCCCTGGAGCAGGCTCCCCAAAAGGTAGTGGCGTCTCCAACCTTGGAGGTGTTGAAGACCCAGGTAGACAAAGCCTTGTCTGGGATGATGCAGTTGGGGCTGGTCCTGCTTGGAGCAGGGGGTTGCACTAGATGTGACCTCCTGAATCCCTTCCCACCCTCCTGGTCTGTGATACTATGACAATCTCCCCCGGAGACCCTAGGACCAAGGGCAGGACCCACGGGGTTAAATGCTCTAAAAATTCAGAAATGAAAACTACTGAAAACCATTCTGATGTGCTAGTTTTACGGCGTGTCCCAAAATGCCGCCTGTGCAAAAGCCAAGACTGTCAGGCCCTGATTATAAGCAACTCCATGTATAAATAAAGTGGAATTGTTTCGGTTCTTTTGGAGGATTAAAAACGCTGACTTCGAATCACAGCAGCGCAGTATTACAAGGCCAGATATTCTCCATCCAGCCCCTCTCACGACGGTCTTGGCTTCTGCGACATCTCCAGGCCACGCGTCCTGCGGCCCATTCACACGCAGAGCAAAAAGGTCTGTCTTCTTATCGGTTTTCAGCCTGTGCCTTTCCGATTCGGTGAACGCGCCTTGCTCTCGGGCCAGGAGGCAGAGGGCAGAAAAACTCGCGCTGTGTCTCCTCTCATTTCGGTTGCTCCAAGGGGAGCGGTTTTGCTTGCAATTCTCAAGCAGCGCGACCAGGCTGCCTGATGTTAAAATGAAAACAGAAAGAAACTCAAAAATCCCCCCCAAAACAGTAGAAAAATCTGGACTGCTGGTAGTTTAAACCCGAAGCCATTCCTCCAGCCCATGGACCAGCCCTGCACCACTCATCCACGGGGCCAAATGGGTTTGGAGAAGAGGAGACGGAGAAGAGGTCTTCTCCCCTGATGCCAACCCTGCTCTATGGCACGTGGTGGAAGCCGGTACCGTTAACGATGAAACCATTGGGGTCAACGCTACCGATCGTCATGCATTGCCCATCCATTGCTCGCGGGGCGGGAGGGGTGTCGAACAAACCCCTGCACCCAGCGGACTTCTCTCTGTTCCCATCATTGCCCGACTTCGAGTGCTAATCCTAACTCTACGCGAGCCTGGCAACAGATGCTTAACGAAACTCTTCATTTCCCCTGGTTTCGCCCTGTTCTCCTTCTAACAGACGACAGCCCTGGTCAGCCCGTTCTCCGCCTGTCCCGTTCCTCTCTGCCCATGCAAAACGAGCAGGCGTGGGTGAAACGGGAATAAATCATACATGTCCACACTGGTTGAGCAGCATTTTTCTCCTCGTCCTCAGCACAGCAGTACCCAGGGTCTAACACTCGGTCCCTGCTTTGTGAAATCTCACCCGTCTTTATTGCACTGGATCTTTAGCTTGCTGGAAGCGACGCCTGCGACAGTCCCGGCGGTCTGGGAATCGACCGCGGTCAATGTAAGGGGTTCATTACTGTGGCTGCCAGACATAGGGAGAGCTTGTGGGTCTCAAGCTACCAGACCAGATAACACTAGGAGCGCCTTTGAAACAGTCTCTTGAAACCAGAACGAAGGTCTCATGGGAAAGACGAACAAATAAATCGACAAGGTGACTAAATAATGGTTCTCAAAATATGCAACCAAGCCAGAGGTTGCCTTTGGCTGAGTTCACGGCCAAACGCAAGCTCGTGGTCTCCATCTTACAAATAAACTCCTCAAGCTTCACTCTTCGAACACATGCACCACTCAACGGTACGGCAACAACGCAGGATAATACTGCACGAAGGTTGCAACGGGAAACGCGCGGGCATGAGGACGTGAAGGGGGCAGGAGGCATTACGGTCAGAGAAGGAACTGGGAAACTCCAGCGCCTCCCTACCCGGCAAATCCACTCCCTCTGCATTTCTGAAATGAAGCTGTTGCTAAAAGAAAGACTTTGCTCCTTTTTACTCCTGGTGCATGTGTAAACCACCGCCGCGGCTGCAAAGAGGCCCTTGGTTCCCCGCCAGCTCACGGGGGGAGACGAGTTGCTCCCCAGATCCCAGGCTATATTCCTGGTGAGAGTGCAGAAGTCAGGCTGTCACCGGAGAAAACCGGACGTGGAGCTGCCGAGACGGAAAAGAAAGAAGGAAGCCTGCCAATGTTTTTCCAAGGGAATCATTTTCCAGAGCCTAATTTCCACGGGAATTATGCTCTCGACCTGACGCTTCTAAAAGCAAGAAAATCACCCGGATTCAGGGCACAGTAACCAAGAGCACGCCTGAGCTCGAAGTTTCTCGGAGGAGTGCTGACTCACTCCCGCTGTCGACATGCCATTGTTTATACTGGTGCTATTCTCTTTAAATGCACGCCGGATTTAGAAGGATTTCAAGAGCAATGCAGATAGCGCAGGCCGGGTTTGCCACGCGGCTACGTGAGAGTCAGTCTGGGAATCGCAACTTTACCGGCCCCGATTTTTAAGTGCCACGCTGCCGTCCGCATGACTCCCGACTCCAGGCTCACGCCGCAATCCCTTCCCTGAGTGCCGGGCATGTGTTTTCTCAACTTTGCTACATGATTTCATAGACATAAATCAACCGATGAGAACGCGCGCTTTCGTCTCCGTGTCCACCGCTTGCCCGTCACAGTGAGCGTCTATATGAGACAGGAAGGACCTGCTCGTGCCCGACACACCAGGGACAGTGAGACGGGACCTTGCATCTCCTAATGGAAATCGTGCCCCTTGTGTCCAAAACCTACTCCCAACATCCAGACCCAACTCTTTGTCCCAAGCCTCATGTGACGCCAACGTCCACTGCCACCAGTGGGACTGAGAGCGAGTCCAGCCGCGGCTCTCCGTCCCTCGCCTTTGCAGCCAGCCAGACCCAAAGCCAGTGCAAAGGAGGAAGAAGAGCAGACATTTTCTCCCCTGACGTCATGCATCTCACTCCAGCTTCCTAGCACGTAGCACATGTCTGCTGGGAACCCCCGCGCCCCGCGTACTCCCCCTCCGACCATTTTACAGACAGGGAAACTGAGGCATGCCTTACCCAAGGTTTCCAAAGCAGGTTTGTGCTTGAGAGCGCCCGGCTCCCAGGCCTGTACTCAACTCACTTCCACCACAAGCAGTCGTTCCCCCCCACCCCTCTTTCCATGTGCGGCCTATTCCCCCCAGCAAAGAGCTGCAGGCTTCGTGGGTTGTGGGTCACACCGTTCCTCCTGCTGGAGGTGGGGGAAAAATTTTCCCCTGCAGAAAAAAGTGGGGTCAGGCCCTAAACCACAACTCGGGGGGGACAGGCTTCCCCCACCCCAATTCTCGGGAGCACCCACATCTCCCTCGACAAAACGGCTCGCACGCAGCCGCCCAGAGGGACCCCCTCCATCACACCCATCCCCTGAGATGCCCACTGGGGGGAAAGTGGAGGAGCTGCTTTCATCGGGGGGTAGCGTGGAGCACCCCCTGCAAAGCAGAGATGTGCAAAGTGGAGTTGGCCGAGCTGTGCGTGCATCCGCCACACACGCAGCTGTCCACACCCCCGCCAGCCTGCACACCAAGCCACAGCCCCTCCTGGCTGCACCAACACGTGCAGCACGCTACACGCCCAGCAAACCCCCTCCACGAAGTGACAGACGCCACGCGTGCGCACGCTCGCATCAGTGCCATGTGAACCGCATCCGCTCCTACACACGTGGACACAGATACCGCACCAAAAGGACCGGGCGTCCAGCAAAACCCCACAGCCCCACTTGCACAGACCGATGCACACAGTGCACAAACTGTGCAGACACTACCATTCAAACCCGCAACCGTGCCCACGCACACCGACGTGGGCACAGCGCACTAGCAACACAGACACCCAGCACCAAGGTCTCACACACACGCACATCAAGCCCCCTTCTCCATATGCACACACACACAAACCATGCACACACACCTCAACATGGCAGACAAAACCGCAATCCTTCCTGCGCACGTCCAAACATATGCCGCCATGTAATCCCGCACACACCTTGGCATCGGCACAAACCCACAACTGCACGCAGCTGTGAGCAGATGTGTTGTGCTTGGCCTGGCGACGTGTGTTCCTGTCCTCACCTCCAGGCCTGTACCTAGGCTCCTGGCAGCCCCGGGCAAACTTTTAGTATCGAGCCCCCCTTCACCAGCAATAATGCTAATAATAATTGGACAATGGGGAAAAATTACCGTTTTCCGGTCCTCTTTCTGTCTAGGCCCCGGTTCGCCCATGCCTGTGTCCGGCTCTACTCCCCTCAGGGTGTCCGGCCCAGGTTTGTTATCCATTAACTCAGTTAAATGGGAGCAAACAGCCCTACGTTACACCCCATGCTCTGAGGACACCCCTGGATATTGTGCCCAGCCTTTGCTGAGCTGGGACCCAAAGGGAAGGGAAGGGACAAGGATTTCCTCGAGCCCCTCAACCTTCCTGGGGGCCTGCTCCAGATGTGGCCTGCCGTTCCAGCTGTGCCCAACTCCAGGTGCATCTCTGCAGCTGCCTGTCCCGAGGAGGAGAGGAGACAGCTGCCAACAAGCGTCCCAGAAAGGGTCTTGGTGGGGACCGGAGGTGGGAGCCTTCGCGTCTCTCTTCCCTTGGGCTGGTTGAGGCCCCGGACTCGAGCTGCTGAACGCGGCGAGGGGGGAGGGCTCGTCGAGGCAATTAGCACTTCCCTCATCTGAAATAAAATGTGTGCACGCGCGCTTCTATATGGGGCTGCGCGTTTCTCACACGTGCAAAAGTGCGTGCCTTTTATATAAGAGGGACGTGTGGGTGGGGTATTACATACAAAATGGTGCCCGCGTCTTCCATAGGAGGCAGCACGTATATCGGATACGAGGAGAGGACGGTCCGCAGTGTCACCGCGTCTCGGATGGGAAGCGTGTGCGTGCACAGCAGACCCCGGGCGTGTGCACGCGTGACATCCGTACAACTCAGACCATAGTAATACATGAAATGGTGTGTGCGTGTGCAACGTGTGTGTGTGTGTGTGTGTGTGTGTGTGCGGTATGATGTAGCTAGAGTTTTTAATTCCTATTTTTAGAAGAGTTGGTTGCCTTCCCTGAGCAGCGCGGGCCTTTGGCTGCTCGTCAGTAATTCGATGCCCGTTCACACAATAATAGACAGATTTCACGTCCTGAGTTTGTCTCCCTCTCCCAGCAAGCCAGGACTTTCTTTCCCCAGCCCGTGCACAACCAGATACAGATTTCAAACAACCACAAAGCTACGTGGGGTAGGGGACGGGGTGGGGGGAGCCTGCCTCTGGTCCAGAAACTCTGCGTTCTCCTTGGAAACGGCATCGATTCTGCATTTGGGACCCCAACTCCTTCGCCGAGCGGCACGAGCTCCCGTCCCCTTATTGGGGCTAGTGGCACCCTCCTCCTCCTGACTTGGGTGGGACGGCTGGCGGCGCGAGGTGCTGCCGAGTACAACAAAAGGGATCGCAAGCCGCCCCTTCCCGCCGCAGGGTTTTCTCGGGGGGGGGGGGGGGGGGGGGTGGGGGGAAGTCTGTCCCCCCAAACCCCTCTGACCCGGGCTCATCCAGGATGATGAATAATCCCTTGCTAAAAAGCTACACAACGTTTCCACCGGCTTTCGAGAACTAAAAATACATGTGACGGCTGAATCCAGTCTCGAGCGCAAGACAAATTTCTCTCTCTCTGTCTGTCTGTAAACAAGCCCAGGCTCCCAGATCCAGAGATACGGGGCTTTCAATTTTCTGAACAAATTGCAATTAGGCCAGGGGCAATACAGGACAATCCCAAAGACTCTTTGAACCCTCTGGGCAATATTTTACTGATACTGCTTTCCAAACTAATTGGCTTTTTTCTTTTCATTACCCTCTCGGAGTTTTTCTGAAAGCCGGCCGCCGACATGAATAATGACAGGAGGCACACAGCGGCACGTATGACGGCAACCACGGCAAAGAACGGCTTTCTCCCGGCCAAGTTTTGACCTCTCTCACAGGCTTTAGGACAAAGGCATTTGAACCGATTGGTCCCGGTTTATACGCTTATCTTTTGTTTTTTCTAATATACAATATCTATATTTTCTTATATATAATATAAGAAATAAATATAGCGAATATACAGAATAAAAGTCAAGAATTACAAAAGGCTCTGTACAGAACCAAACTACTAATTTAGTGAAGCGCGAGTTTGGACACAGATCTGAATATTGCTGCTCCGTCTCATTGATATCGATATCTATGTCTGCTGCTTGCAGCAATATTCCTGTTCTTCTCCTCCAGTAATGCCGCCAAAACGTTTTGTGACAACTTTTTGCCGACGAATCCTCCCAAGAACCAGCGTGTGCAGATACATGGCTGGGCTCAGCCCCGTGCAAATTTTATATAGAAGTGCACAATAACACAGGTTTGCACAACATGTAGCAGTATTCCAGAAAAAGGGGGGGATGCACACATAGGAAATTAAAATCTCTGCAGTTACACTGGACCGGAGAACAAAACCGAAAGGATACAGACGTGCCCGAGTCAGGGAATAAATCAGTCTCGCTCCCTGACAGCCTCAGCGAGAAACTTTTCCTATCAACAGATTATTCCATAATTGTGCATTACGGGCAGTTTAGCACCTTCCCTGCAGCACCGAGCAGCGGTCGCCATTTGAGAGGGAATATCGTCTGATACAGTCTGCATATTTACTTGTGGGTATTTTATCTCTCTGCTGCATATTTTTTTTCACCCACATTGAATCCTGCATTCTTGCCGTATTTCTTAACACTGGAAGGCAAATTGCCTTGAAACAATCTTCTCTAAAACTGGCAAGTTGAAATCAAAATAAATCTCTATTGCCTTTTCGCACGCAGCCAATTTGGGGGGACATTTCTTTGTATCGGCCTGGACGGCAAAAAAAAAAATGATAAAAACGTGTTTGCAGAAAAACTAACGTTCGGTTCCAGCCGTGCCACGGGAAACGGATGAATGCGACAGCGTCTGCAGGCAGCGGGGTTTTAGCAATGCAGATTGTCATTAGCATGGCATTCGTTATAAAAATAATGGAGACGGCATCAATAATAACCCGCGGACTAGGATTGCATTTGCCGGGGATTTTGGGGAGGAGAAAAACGTCTTTGCAAATATTTTTACCCGCCCCCCCGGCCAAGACTCCAGCAGTCGATATAAGAGATAATGCTAATAAAAGCCCACCTTGTAACAGAAACATTATTCTGTTCTTCCTATTAAAAAAGATGACTGTTAATCCCTGTGCTGATAACTAGCGGCTGCGTGTTCCTTGCACTCCCTAGGCAGTTCCCGAGCACACGGGATGGGATTTTACAAAACGCACACACCGTTCCCCGACTCGCCTCGCTAGGAAAGCGACAATGCTCCTTTCCCCAGGGCTCCTCCAACGTCCCACAACCTCTTGCTTCTCCCCGTCGTCGTCCAAACGCCTCCTGACAATCCAAGCCCCTTCACCGACCCGGGTTTTCCCCCCCAAACTCCCAGCAGAAAAGCGGCGTGCCTTTTGGCAGCGTGGACCCTGCCCTACAGCTGTGCCTGCCACGACACTCGCCGTGGAGCCAGACAAAGAGTTGGGGGGCCACGGACGCGGTGAAAAAAAAAGGAGCAAGCCTGGATGGGGAGGGCGGCTGGACGGACAGCCCGAGAAGCGGTGCAGGCCCTCCCTGCCCCGGCCGTGCTTACCTGGGTCTCGGAGAGGCTAAGGCTGCTGGCCAGCTGCTTGCGCTCGGCTCCCACCACGTAGTGGTTCTTCTCGAAGGCTCGCTCTAGCCGCAGCAGCTGCGACGGGGAGAAGGCCGTCCGGATCCGCTTGGGCTTCCTGGCGAAGGGGCCGTGCAGTAGCAAGCTCTCCTGGGACACCTCGCTCCCTGCAGACAGAAACCCCGGGTCAGGGCTGGGCCTGGCTGAGGCCTAGCTGGGGGCGATGTCTGCCCCCGCTCCAGCCCCCTCCGGGCCCTGAGCTTCTGGAGCGGGGAAGGAAAGAGGCCGAGGGCAGGTGGAGGGGGTCAGGATTGGGCCCCGGGGAAGCAACCTCCCATGCACCCCCTGGGCACTGCTCCCTGCCCTGTAATTAAAGCCCTGTGACACTGCACTTATTGCTGCCCATAAATCACACCAGGTCCCTTTGAACCAGGCCTGAGCTCTGCCCCTGGCCCCCGGGGGGGGGG